ATTTCTGCCACCAGTAAGCCGTCATTCCGTACCGGATAGAGAATCTGAGGAGTGTTGTCGTTTTGGTCTTGTACTATTATAGCTATAGTCACGCTGCTGCTAAGGGGCGGGGAACCGCCATCGCGAGCAATGATTTCTACCTGGAAGTTATTCACTTGCTCATAATCAAAAGAGCGCACTGCATAAACAACACCACTGTCAGAGTTAATGGAGATAAAGGCAGCCGTGGATGTTCCGTTGATCAATTTGTCCTCGATAAAGTAAGAAACTCGAGCATTCTGATTCCAGTCTAAATCTGTGGCTGTCAACGAAATTATAGACACACCCGGAGTGTTATTTTCTATGACATAAGCAGAGTATGAGTTCTTTTCGAATATAGGAGCATTATCATTAACGTCAGAAATATTTAGCAGGATAACTCTTGTATTTGACAGAGGAGGGGAACCTTGATCTCTTGCAGTAATAGTAATATTGTACATGGATATGCTTTCCCTGTCTAAAACAGAATCGGTGACAATACTGTAATACTTCGCTAGGGAAGATTGTATTTTAAATGGTACATTTTGATTGATAGCACATTGTATCTGGCCGTTCCTCCCTGAATCGGCATCTTCGACATTTATAACCGCGACAGTGGTGCCAACCTCCACATTTTCAGACACCGTGCCGGAAAACGACATCACATCTATGACAGGAATATTATCATTTATGTCCTTCACCTCGATTATTACCTTACTTGAATCAATGAGTCCCCCGTCATCTTTTGCCTGGACATTAATCTCATAATGTTTCGTCTTTTCAAAATCTAACGATCCCGCCACTGTGATTTTCCCTGTATTCTGTTCCAGTTGAAAGAGATCCAAAGCGTTGTCTGTAATCCGAGAAAGAAAGTAAGTCACGCGTCCGTTTGAGCCCTTATCTGCGTCTGTTGCAGTAACAGTAGTGACCAGAGTCCCCTTGATTGCATCCTCGAAAACAGAGGCTCTGTAGAGGGACTGAGTGAAAACTGGAGGGTTATCATTTGCGTCCAGAACCACAATGTTGATTTTTAATGTCCCAGACTTCTGCGGATTCCCCCCGTCTGCAGCGGTTAACACCAGGGAGAGCTCCTCTTGCTTTTCTCTGTCCAGAGGGGTTTGCAGTACCATCTCCACGTATTTGCTACCATCAGCGCGATTCTGTAACTTTAAATTGAAATAATCCAAGGGTTTTAAGGTGTAGCTTTGAAGAGCATTAACACCCACATCAGGGTCATCTGCACTCTCTAACAAAAAGCGTGAGCCTGGCAGAGACGATTCACTGATTTCTAGTTTAACCTCTTTCACTGGAAAAGTCGGGGCGTTGTCGTTAATGTCTAATATTTCCACTGCTACGGGGTGTAGTTCAATAGGATTTTCCAGAATAATTTCAAAACTCAGCGTGCACAATGGTATCTGCCCGCATAAACTTTCCCTGTCAATTTTTTCTTTTACAACCAAAATCCCCGTCTGTATATTTAGCTCGAAGTACTGGTTACTACCTCTTGTAACAATACGGGTTCTGCCGGCTACTAACCTTTTATGATCTAGTCCCAGGTCTTGTTCGATATTTCCTACAAAGGATCCTTTTACCATTTCTTCAGGGATAGAATATCGCAATTCCCCTCGCACGCTTTCAGCAGTACACAGACAGAGAATCGCGAAATGTATTGGCCACTGAGCAGAACAACAGTCTCTTCTAGACCTCATTTCCACAAGGTAATATTAAACATTCAGCAGCAGAAAGAGGAGACAATACAGATCATAACCATTGAATGGCTTCCGAGAACAATTTAAAAAAAACATGCAAAAATAAAAGCCGTTTTTCCTTTAATTCCGACAGCAAAATATTTCGTGTTTCAAAGCTGCAGCTCCCGGTCAGTAATCCCAGCAACGCACATAATGAAATCTTTCCCGTCTGTGTCTGTGTTACACAGCAATAATATGGGAGGTTCTTTTTCACCAGCTTACAGTCATGCTAATCAACAGCGGCACTTTGAGCTGAAGTGAAGAATTACACATTTTAAAGATAGAAAAAAAGGGTTTGGAGGAACACACCTACAAATAGCAAGTTTTTATATTTCAACACAATATACTGTATAGAAATAACTAGTGTATAGAAAACACAATATTTTTGACACGAAAAAATACTACGAGTACCCTAAAGTGTAGAAAAACCGTTACGTTAATTTAATCAACTAGCATTTTTTTAAAATGGAAATTAAGCTACTACATATTTACCCTTTGCTACTGTAGCTGTTACCACTACTAGCGTCTTAGTTACGCTCTTACGGTATGTGCGTTATTGCTACTAGTAAGTTGAAAAATAGGTAGCTGTAATAGCAATAGTGGAATCCCATTTTAATGTAAGTACTCTGGAAAAGCATTTTGACAGATCGATAATCAATGTAATTTTTATCGTTGCTCTTTGGTTTTCTTTTTTGACGCAATCGATTTTCATTACTTAATTCGACATGATAAAAAATACTGCATTTTTAACAAAGTAAAAACAAACGAAACCCCTGAAAGTGAACTCTGACCCCTCATATTAAAGCTTATGCTTTAAAAGGGCAAGCTTCTGCATCTTACGAAAACATGTCCGTAACAAATTAAAGCAGCGTTTTCTTTTTTGTTGAACGGAGAGTTTTAAATGTGGCTAATATTAGCTCGAAACAAACATGATGAGAAAGACATTTAGATTTCACACTAAAAGATTAATTTACTGTTATTCTGAATTTGCTTGCAAAGTGACAGCTCTCTCGATCAAGCGCATCGTCTTATTATACCAAAACATAAGATTAAGAAAGATATTCAGGAAACAATTTAATGACACTTACTTAATGACACATACTAGACGAGTTAAACATTCGTAATTTGTTGTTCTCTGTTGTCAAGCAAATTAATCCTGCTGAAATTAATTTGCTTGACTTTAGATAGGTATTCACAACAGAATGAATATTAATAATCTCGTTCAGTTGCTTAATGCACGGTTTGCGTACTATATGTAAAGACAACGTGAGGCGCGGCCATGGAGACTGAGTTTAAAGAGGGCACTAATGAAAAAGAACATCATTGACATCTGTTTGAGAAACAATACAAAGGTCAATTTTGGTATTTATCCGTGAAAGTGTGGAATTTAAATCAAGAGATATTACATACAAGCTATGCAATGACCTTATAATTCCTAATGTAGAAAATTGTGCACAATCAGAGAGTAGAAGTGCAACCAAATATGCTCCTGGGCATAAGGCATTCATCTACACTGACAGGCTGCAGGAACTGAATTATTCTTAAAAAGATAAGGTTACGAGGGGACCGGACCCAAGCGCCAAAATCCTCAAAGACACTGACAAAGTCATCATAGTGCACTTCTTCCAAATAAACAATGAAATCTGAACCAAAGACAGCAAGTAGAAACTATGCAGGAATGCATTTAAAGCAGAGAACAGGCAGTACATCTTTATGCAAAGGGTTGTAGGAGCATGGAACAAGCTCAAAAATGGCTGGATGGGGTCCTTGGATTAATGAGCTACAGTACTATCCACCAATGGACTGAGTAGTCTTTTCTCATTTGTAACCTTGCTTATGATCTTATTAGAACACATCAGTGAGACATAGCAAGCTTTGTTCCAAGACTCACATTGTGAAAGATATAGAGCTAATTAATAACCTTTAATTCATAGACACTGCTTGTTCTTTAAATACACCATAAACCTGAAAGGTGCTCATTGTGAGTTACATATAAAATATCACCTACTGTATAAACAGTATACAAGAAAACCTGTATTCTTGCTTTTGCACAGTGACAAATAACATGAACCAAAATGAGATACAGTTGGAATAATCCATGATATCACTAAATGATGTTACCATTACTGGAAAAAAAACATAGAATACTTGGAATATTTGTTGTTTGTGAAGTAGGGGTTACTAAAATAGTCTTTTTCAATGTGATTTGTTATTCATCTGACATCTACGTATGATGCAAGATAATAAAACATCACCAAGCATGAAAATACTTTTAAACTTATTCTTCATTCAACACTATTCTACAACCATACTGTTATATCCCTTCATAGAATCGTATCAGATGAAACTGAATAACTACATTGGTGAAATACTGTCTTTAAATCCCTCATGGAGTAAAGATCAACCAATAAATAAATATCTTTCAAGCATCCCTGGGGCTAAAATCACATGGTTTCAGATACTGTAACTAACCCAGCCAGTTCTTTACCATGGATATAAAAAAGGTATTTGATTAAATTCCAACATCAAAGCAATTTTTAAATTGGTGCTTCAACTTAAGGAAATGTAATTTTCACAATCAAAAAAAACTTCAGCACTCTGTTAATAATGTCATACAATAGATAACATTTTGTTTACAGTTTATAAAACCAATAGCACTTAAAGAGTTGAGTCCTAAAATGCTAAACCCTGAAGCATTAATTTATGGTTTTAGCTTTGTTTTTTCACACAAAAAAGGAGAAGAGGCACACTCACCTCAGCTACAGCATCGCCATCTTCTAGAAGGTTAGTTTCCTTATGAACATTTGGGGCTGTTTCTGTAGAGCTGGGGTCCACAATTAAAATATTCTGGCTACAAGGTCTAATGTGTTTATTGCCACTTTTTCTTGAGTCAGTGGTCAGACACACTTCGTAATTGTACATGTGCTGCAGAGTTCCTGTAGCCCCAACATCTGCATAATGAGGCGGATAACATGCACTGGGAAAAACGGGGAAATGTCCCTTGGATGTACAAAATAAACGAGACTGTCTCCATCTGTACAACTTAACTGACAACAAGACTGTGATTGAGACAATAAAAAGAAATGAAACCACAGCCAAGGACAGGACTAAATAAAAAGTCAAGTTGTCATTGTAGTTTTTATCTTGAGAAAAATCTCCGAATTCCGAGAGCACTTCAGGGAAGCTGTCCGCCACCGCCACGTTCACATTCACTGTAGCTGAACGAGAGGGCTGCCCGTTGTCCTCCACTACAACAACAAGCCTCTGTTTCACAGCGTCTTTATCAGTGACCTGACGTGAAGTTCTTATTTCTCCGTTCTGTAATCCCACTTCAAACAGCGCCCTGTCTGTCGCTTTCTGCAGTTTATATGAGAGCCAGGCGTTCTGCCCAGAGTCAACATCAACAGCTACAACTTTAGTGACAAGATAGCCAACATCTGCTGAACGAGGCACCATTTCAGCCACCAGAGAGCCATCACTGTGCACTGGGTAGAGAATCTGAGGAGTGTTGTCGTTTTGGTCTTGCACTATTACAGTTATAGTCACGCTGCTAATAAGGGGTGGAGAGCCACCATCACGCCCAATAACCTCTACCTGGAAGTTATTCACTTGCTCATAATCAAAAGAGCGCACTGCATAAACAACACCACTGTCAGAGTTAATGGAGAGAAAGGCAGCCGTGGATGTTCCATTTATCAATTTGTCCTCTATAAAGTAAGAAACTCGAGCATTCTGATTTGAGTCTAAATCTGTGGCTGTCAATGAAATTATAGACACACCCGGAGTGTTATTTTCTATAACATGAGCAGTATAAGAGGTTTTATCAAATTTAGGAACATTGTCATTAACATCAGCTACATTCAGCATGATTGTTTTATTACTGAAAAGAGATGGGGAGCCTTCATCTGTTGCTATAATGGTAATATTATAGTTAGGAACTTCTTCCCTGTCTAAAGGTGCATCAGTCACCATTGTGTAATAATTCTTTAAAGAAGACTTTATCTTGAAGGGGATATTTAGGTTGATGGCACAAAGAACTTGACCATTCTTTCCAGAATCTAAGTCTTCAACACTAACAACAGCTACTGTCCTTCCAATCTCTGCA